CCCTGGGATCATGACCTGAGCCGAAGGCAGACGCTTAATGACTGAGCCACCTAGGTGCCCCAAGAAACACTTTTTTTTTTTTTAAAGATTTTATTTATTAATTTGACAGAGACACAGGGAGAGAGGGAATGTAAGCAGGGGGAGTGGAAGAGGGAGAAGCAGGCTTCCTGCAGAGCAGGGAGCCCGATGAGGGGCTCGATCCCAGGACCCTGGGATCATGACCTGAGCTGAAGGCAGATGCTTAACGACTGAGCCACCCAGGCGCCCCCCCCAAGAAACACTCTTAACTCTAGAGAACAAACTGCTGGTTATCAGAGGGGACGAGGTAGGGGGGATGGGTGAAATAGGTGATGGGGATGAAGGAGGGCACTTGTCCTGATGAGCACCGGATGATGTATGGAAGTGTGGAATCATTGTATTGTACACCTGAAACTAACATTACACTGTATGTTAACTATACTGGAATTGCAATAAAAAAAAAACCCATCCCATTAATTACCATTATCCTCATTTCTTCCACGTCAATGCAGTCCACAGTTTCATGGGTTGTCAATAGCAGAGTGGTTTTGAAATTTCTCAAATTGTTTGAGAGAGAGAGAGAGAGAGAGAGAGAGAGTGTGTGTGTGTGTGTGTGTGTGTGTGTGTGTGTGTGTAACATATAACCCATGTGATTGTATTTTTCCATCACTTGTTAACTTTAGGAAACCCTCATGCGTGGTCTTCTTCAGCACAAAGGCCTTCCCTGACACAAAAGTCAGAAGATGTGGGGACAAAAGGGAGGGAACAGAAGCAGGAATTGGATAGAAAAGGAAGATCTCTTAGGCCCAAGGAGGCTGGGGAGAGGACTGATGGAAGTGGTTTAAGTCCTTTGGGTCAATATTTTTCAAAAAGAAAATATGTATTATTGGCAAGGCAGCTGCTCAGAACATACTGAGATGGTCCATTTCTCAGAAAAATACTGCAACTGGTCTTTTGGTATAAAAAGTATATGAGAGTGGCTTCAATCTTCAGCTACCATCTAATGTTCTCATTATATATGACAGAGCAGAACATATAAAAGGGTGGCCCTACAGTTCCCAGAGGCCCAGGGCTCCTTTGGTTGTCCTTCAGGCAAACGAAAATAAGAGGAAGCTTTCTGGGCAGAGTTTCACAGATGACGCTGTGACATTATTAGATGAGTGTATCTAGAGCACTGTGCTAAAGCTGGGGAGTTCTGGCTCCAGATCTCTTACTGATCAGCTGTTATATCCTGGGCCCTTGCCTTTCTTTCTTTCTTCCTACTAAAATGAAGGGTTTGGACCAGGTGACTCCTTTTAAATTCACAGGATTCGTGTTTGTCTTCACTGCCAGGAAAATGATCACCACAAACATGGGTCCTCCTTTGGCAACACGATTTTAGTGACCTGAGACCAATGCACTATACAAGTGGGGAAAGGTCATCATTTTTCTACTTTTAACAAATACCTAATAAAGAATGGTCATATAAATGCATGAATTAAGATGGTGAGAGAGAACAGTGAACATAAACAGAAGAAACAAAGAAAAGGACGCTGGCAGTTATGGCAGAGACAAGGAGCCCACACTGCCCTCCTGGGGGCATGTGTCCCTCCACCTGAGCAAGGACGTGGCTGGACAGCCCCAGGGGCTGAGGAAGAGGTGACCACTGTAGGTTCTGGAACAAGACTGCAGCCTCCCTGGCACCGGCTGGATTCTGTAACATTCATCTATCGCCCCTGCACGCATTTCTAGGCCCCACGGAGTACTTTCCTCTGGAGTTGGCAGTCTTGCCCCGAAGACACAGGGAGTAGAATATGAGAACATTCCTACTTTGTGCAGGCACGTCTTGTTCCTAACCTATCACTTTGATTCCAGTACTCCTCCTTCCAGACTATCTTTCTGCCTGCTGCCTGGATCCTTGGTCAGGTTCTTCTGGCTGTGTATCTGATAAAGTCCTGGCTGTAAAAACAGCAGCAAATGAAAGCTCCTCATACAGGATTCCATGCCACCGAGTGGCAAGCAGTTTAAGTGCGCAGAGCAAACTTGAAGCAGCTTTGAATGCGCTTCTGAATGCAGCTGAAGTGGAAGCTAGCAGGAAAAGCTAGCTGGCTCCAGCCAGCTTTCCTAGTCACAGAGAGCCCTTGCCATCTGAGGCTCAAACATCACTCATTAACTGTCAACCTTTAGTGACTAATTTACGGCCACGATTTGCTCCACTTCCTGAGAGTTAAAGGTCAACTGTAATGCAGGAAAATCATCTGTCCATCACTGTATTTCCCTTTATAGACACAAGGTGATGCCATCCAGTTTCTCAAAACCATACATAGTGCCAAATTCGACTGTGAATATGCTGACACCTTGCCTGGCCCATAATACAGAGCCACTGTCTACTAGGGGCCCAGAAGGAAAAGAGCCACCGTCAGAGAGCAAGGTGGTTCCGGGGTGTGCGTGCATCCCGGCCATTCCGCTTCCCAACTGGAAACGCACTGGTCTTGGGATCACTTCATCCTGCCACACCCACTTCCCTTAGATACTGGTTTTCCATTTCACAAATTGTTTTTCTCTTTTATTACTTCAAGTGGATGGCAATCAGACTGTTCTGTTTGACAACAGTTACCTCTACTCCGTCTGGGACAAGACACAGTGGTGACTGACTTAAATGACCCTCTTAGTTTTTATTTAACAAACCATTTTTTTATAGCACTTATCATGGGCCAGGCATTCTGCCAGGAACATCACCAGTGGTAACTCATTTAATCCTTATAAATCAAGGGTTAATCAAGTATGATTATGTATAAATAAAAGTGGCTCACACTACTTTGGCCTAACAGAGTTACAGGACCTTTTTTTCCAGGCTTAATGAAGATGCCCTTCCCGACGCTCCCTGCCCTGGGACGCTGAATTTAAAGACCAGTGGGGGAGAGAACAGGCACATTTTCATAGAGACCATGAAACCTCCCCTTCAAAAAGAATAAAAATCCTATCACTGTTTGCCAGTGTCTATGAGAGCAGGACACATGCTATGTACCCAACAGAAATGTGCCATATGTGTACAAAAATCATGCGCAAGAATATTCATAGGAGCACGGTTCTTTAGCACCCCCAAATTGAAAACAAGCCCCAAGGTTTGTCAGCAAACAAACGGATAGATTGATTGTGGTATATCCATACAATGGACTACTCTAGGGCAACAGGAATCAAGGAGCTACCGATACATGCAACAGCACGGATGAATCTCACAAACGTGATGCCGAGTGAAGGAAACAGACACGATGGAATACACGCTCTGTGACTCCATTTATATGAAGTTCCAGGACAGGAAAAATTCATGTATGGTGACAGACTGTGACAACAGTGGTTGCCTATGAAGGGGTGGGGCTTGCCTGCAAAGGAGCCCAAAGGAGCACTGTGAGGGGACAGACATGTTTTATATTGCGATAGGGGCCTTGTTTACAGCGTATGTCCATTTATCAAAATTCATCGAATTGTATACTTATGATCTATGCATTTTACTGCGTGTACATCTTGCTTCGCTATAAAAGAGAGATGTGACATCATGTGTGTTATGAGCCTCCTGAAGCCATGGGCTCCTGAACACATCTGCTGTCCTGCAGATGCTGCCAGGGGCAAGCCCACAACGTGTAGCCTGATCCAGCTGCTGAAGCCAAGCCAAGACTCTGAGAAACCAGACACAAGAGTCCTCTCACTCAGGTCACCTCCTACACTCACTTTATTCATTCCCTGTGGAAGATGTTGGCCACGGAAGGTTGATGAGGAGGTGCCAGAACTCTCTGGCTCTCAGGCTAAGTTTGAATACCCTCCCAGAGTTTTTTGTTTTATGATTCAAGATGACCAATTCCTGGCCCCAGCAGAGGGCAGGCCCAGCAGTAAGTTTATCTGGGCATGGCTCTCACCGTATTCACCTAATGGTGTTCCCCTTCCTGTATCTTATCCGGGGAAGAAGGGAGACTGCAGGACTAAAACATTTAGGCACCTGGGATTTTGTGAGGTTCAACCTGGCCAACTCCTAGTTATCCTCCAAATCCACAGTAGCTGAGTTTGAATGAGCACATGGCTGCCCAGGTAGAGACTACATTTCCCAGCTGCCCTTCTGGCTACATGGGGTCATGTGACTATGCGTTCACCAATGGAATGCGAGTAGAAGTGTCCCCGAGCTAATTCTACTTGCTTTAAAGGAACTTGTCCTGAACTTCCAGTCTTTCCCCCTTTACATAGGCTGGAATACAGAGTAGGAGTGACCTAGCTTCAACTAGAAGGGGATAACATTTTCACAAATTCAAGAGCTACAAAATGGTCAGAAACCAGGTCCCTGAACAACTCCCGGAGCAGTGCTAAGCCACTCATCTGGCCCACTCACTGCTACACTGTTAGGTGAAAGAGCAATTTCCATCTTACTCAAATCACTGCATTCCGGGTCTCTTTGTTACAGCATCCTAATACCCCCAGCACACAAGCTTTTGAGGCTCCTTGTCTCCAGGCAGGAATTTCCAAGTCTCACAAACTCCATCTAGCCCAGAAATTTGTATTCAAAAGTTCAGATTATACTAGTAAATGAAAACAGCACCCTCTTCTCCTATCCTACAACAGTCATCCAGTTGCTTAAACACATCCCCCACAGTCCACAAGATACTATCAACCTCTTATTCATGTATATGAGGTCCTTTCAAGACATAGTCCCAGCCTCCACACTTAGCCTCAGGGCATGCTTTTGCTTCCGGGGCATCCTGTACTCTAATCGCCCTGGATGTTCCCTGAAGGCCATGGATGTTCCCTGAAGGCCCACTGCACATGAAGAACACTAAGCTCCCATTTCTGCTCTGGCCAAGTAGAATGGCCTTTTCACCACCCCATCCCACACTCTCTTCTGCATGTGAGGTAATTCTTACTACGAATTCCAAACCCAGCCCTAAAGACCCCAGGGAAGCCTCTTTAAAAGCCCCAAGTGGAAGGACTTCCTCCCTCCGTTAGACTTCCACAGCATTTGGGGCAAACCCTCATCAAGGCATTTATTGCTCTGAGCTCTAGGGCTTTAGTTACATGTCTGAACTCATGGCTGGAATATACGTTCCAAAGACAAAATCCATGAACACCAAGACCAGATGCCTTGCCCATTTTCATAACCTTGGCATTTAGCATCCGATCTGGCTCAGTGAGGGTTGAATGAAAGAAGAATTTAACAGGCAGCAGGTCTCACTCTTACCTGTTGAGTGCAAATGCATAATGGAATTTAATATTATGCTGGTCGGCCAAGTCACACGTAGGCAGCATTTCCAGGGTCTCCACCAGCTTCACCATGGCGTCATAGTCCTGTTGGCAAGAGGTCCCAAGGTGAGAAAGACAGGAGACCCACAGCTCTTCTCAGGTTCTTCTGAATGGTTATCAACCTAAGACTGCCTCAGCATTTAAATACAAGCGTTTCCCTACAGACAGCATTTAGTGAAGTTACTTACAGCCTATAACATAACAGGATTAAGATTAAAAACAAAAACAAAAACAAAAACACAACAACAACCCAAAATGAATGAGAGAGAAGGTGGACCAAGAATCCCTGCTATCGGAGGCCACAAAAGGATCAAGGGGATGAGGTTAAATCCAAAGGCAACAAAAGCAAGCAAGCAAGTCCAGCAGCCCAGAAAAAGCTCCCACGCCGTGAGTGCAGAAGAGTTAAGAGCATGAGCAGAGCTGTGGGTTAAAATGAGCAAGATGGGCGCCTGGGTGGCTCAGTCGGTTAAGCGTCTGCCTTCGGCTCAGGTCATGATCTCAGGGTCCTGGGATCGAGCCCCACATCGGGCTCCCTACTCAGTGGGAAGTCTGCTTCTCCCTCTCCCACTCCCCCTGCTTGTGTTCCCTCTCTCGCCGTGTCTCTCTGTCAAAATAAATAAAAAAAATCTTAAAAAAATAAAATAAAAATAAAATGAGCGAGATATAAACACACACAAAATCTTATAGTCACCTAGCATGGGAAGAGAGCAAACATGCCAGGTCCTTCCCATTTTGCCATAAAGAACTGAATTCATCTAAACCAGGGTTTCTCCACCTTGGCACTACTGACCCTTTGGGGCTGGCTCCTTCGCGGTTGTGGGGGCTGGCCTGGGTATTCTGGGAGGTTAAGCAGCACCCGGGGCCTGAAGCCGGGAGATGACAGCAGCACCTCCCCCTCACCCCTAAGCCATGAAAACCAACAAGGTCTTCAGACCCGGCCACACGTCCTCTGGTTGAGAAGCAGGTCCTAAACTGCATAATTACCCAGGGAAAAACTGCTACTGTGTTCGACTCAGCTGGGTCCCCTCTGAACAGTGCCATCTGCTACCCTTTCGGCCAGGCTTCCAATCAGGGTGACTGGCCAACTCACTGCCAGCCAGCCACAGTTCAGTGAGGAGGACTGCCCACTGAGATCCCACGCCTGTTCTGTGGCTCTGCACCTTGATGCTGCTGCTCAAGAAAAGGCGAGAGTGTATTCCAAGAAGCTTCTGGCTTACCTCTGAGCCCTACCAATGGAAGGTTATAAAAAGAAGAGAGGCGTGAAGGCCAGGACAGAAGGAGTTCAATGGAAGACAGACTTCAAAAACAGGTCATTTGCATTCTCTTGTCCCCTGGCCATCATTTCATCATTGTCAAAATCCCTAATAGCATCTGCTATTAAAGCCAATTAGATGCATCTGTTTATCACCAGGGTGTGCGTTCCTTAGCAGTTGATTCTTCTTTGCTCAGGTCATAAGTGGGTGCCTCTCTCAATTTGATTTAAAGACCTGTTGTCAACAACCTCCAGTATGGCTTTGTAGAATTCTGCATGGAAGGCACACTGTCCGGTGTTCCCCCCAAAGGGAAGCAAGTCAAGACATCCTTACAAATGGCTCGACAGCATTTAACTTGGAGGGAGGAAACACTCCATTTCCTGCATGGTACCGCATCCCATAAATTCTGTCTCAAGCACTCCTCATGAGGCTCTGATGCTTGTTTTAGAGTAAACCTCTGCATACCATGGGTCCCGGATGTGCCTCTGCTACTACCCTCCCTGTCACTGATGGATGGGGTGCTCAACAAAGAAGAAAGTGACCGAGGCCTAAAGAAAGTAGCATAGCCGGGGAGTAAAGAGCAAGGACAACGTTGCCTCAGTTGAATCTGTTAACTGCTGTGTGACCTTGGACAACTTACTTAACTTCTCTGTGCCTCATTTGTAAAACGGGGATAATCAGAGTATACATCCCATAAACTTGTGAAGAGGATTAAGTGAATTGGGATTCGCCAAGAGCTTGAAACAATGCCTCGCATAAAGTGCATCTAAACTGTTAAATTCTAAGTTCCTTTTATCGAGCAGTACTGTGAATGAGGTTTGGCTGGAGTGGCCATCTGATGCGACAAAACCTCCAATGTTACCCACACAACAGATATGCTAGGGGACCTATGACCTAGCCACAATCCTCTTTTGTCCATAAACCAGTTAGCTAACCATCTGGCGGGCAGAAGAGTGCTTCACGTGAGGAATGAACTCCTCAGGCCAAGGAAGCGCTCCGCATGCACTCATCTCTGCGAAGGGGGCTCGTACCTGGATGTCGCGGTAGGACAGCAGCAAATTAACGATGATGTCCGAGGTCAGGACTTCGGTGTTGTCCAAGCGAAGTCTGATCCGAGCCAGCTCCTTTGCCAGTTCGTCACCCTGGTATTTCTCTCGGGCTCTCCGGATGTCATTTAACAAGGTTTCTTTGTAGTAAGCGCTGGAGAGGAAATAGGAAAACCTCCAGTATCATCTACCTACATGTGGGACTCTGTTTCCTTCGGCAGCTCCAACCACCTTGGTTCTCATAGCCATGACAGAGCTGGACACAGGGAGGCCTCTCCCAGCCCCGAGCCTCCCCGCACCAGCAGAGACAAGATAGGTCCTACTTGCTAGTCGCCTTTTGTGGGAACTAACCATTCAACATCAACAAATTCAGTTCATTAGGACCTTGGAAATATTTTCAAAGTTGACCCCTGTCAGTATTTGGATGACTCATAGGACTTGCTACTCAGCCCACCCTATCCCCTCTGGGATTTTCCAACACAGAGAGAAGAGGTTACCTTACTTGAATCGCTTATTTCCCCCACTATTTTAACACATTATCACAAAGCCAAATACAAGTCCAAAAACCATGAAACACAGTATAATGAGAACGTCCTTAACGTCCATCTATCAGGTATCCCCACCTAGACAGAAATCACAAAGCTTTTTCCAGTTGGCCAAGAGCCAGAAACTGGGTGAATCCATGAGCAATCCCAGAAGCTGTGCCTGGAAGCTTATGGACAACCTCTGCCTTTTACTCCCACTCCCCTGCTCATTTTCGACTGCCAGAATGCTTTTCTAACGTAAAACAAAACTTCCTTCCTGGGAGCATCCAGATAATAATAGGGATGTATAAAAACATCTAAAGCAGTTCCAATCCACACTGGAATCTCTTACCAATGCTAATATCTGGTACTTGGTTTAAAACTTTCACAAATGATCTAATTTGATGTATAGAGGCTGACTTACAATGACCATAGATTGATTTAAATATGTTGTCTACTTTCCAAGTAATGTTTTAATGGAGACTGGGCACTGCCAAGCAGTAATCTACAATCAACCGGTTAAGTAGCTCAGAGGACTTCGCTATAGAGAGAAAAACTAGGCTGTTCATGGGGGAAAAAAAAAGGAGCAGACTCGTCATGATCTCAGGGTCATGGGATCGAGCCCTGCATCGGGCTCTGTGCTCAGTGGACAGTCTGCTTAAGATTCTCTCTCTCCCTCTGCCCCTCCCACCCACACTGTCTCTAAAAGAAACCTTAAAAAAAAAGGAGCAGGCTCAATTTAACAGTCTTCAGAGAAAAACAAATACATAAGAATAAGAACGAATGTTACTTACTTTTAATAAATTCAGACCTATGCCAAGTAAATGTGAATATAGTACACAGCCTATGCCTATGCCAATGCTCATAACATTTTTTTTTAAAGATTTTATTTATTTATTTGAGACAGAGAGAATGAGAGAGAGAGAGCATGAGAGGGGGGAGGGGCAGAGGGAGAAGCAGACTCCCCGCCGAGCAGGGAGCCCGATGCGGGACTCGATCCCGGGACTCCAGGATCATGACCTGAGCCGAAGGCAGTCGCTTAACCGACTGAGCCACCCAGGTGCCCCAATGCTCATAACATTTAAAGAATGCAGTGATGCCCCACAGAAAGCACTCGGACGTAAAATTATCAGTGCGTTGCTTTAATTCTTTATTTTCTTATTTGTCTCTTGCTTGTCATCCCAACGAGCAAATTAGCAGATTCCACCAGTGTTTAAAATTCTGTCATTAATCTTAGGAGTCATTAAGTTGGGTGACAGCCACTGTCCATGTGGTGGACTATAAAGGCATCAAAGATATTAAAGTGTTATTGGTTTAACCTGACAAGTGAGAAGTTGGACTTTAGTTTAGTCTTGTTTTTAAGGCTAATTCTGAAAAACAGTTTTAATAAAGTAAGAAACCTCACAAGAGCTCTAACTTGTAAGTAAATAAGCAAAATACTGAATTGAGTATGGCTTGGAGAGATCATCTACGTACTACACATGTAGACGTTTCTGCCTGTGGTGATGAGGGAAGATGCCGCTGACTGATGTGAACTTGAAAATGGTTTCAAACCCCTCTTCAGCACAAGGCTACAGGCAGCCTTTACCCATCTATCAGAGCTGACACCTGAGCGAAAAACTTATCTGCCATCCCTCTTACAGATGTTTTAAACAGAAGCCCCAGGTACCCTTCTCAGTAACCATCCAAGGGGTAGAAGCAACCAACAGGTATTTCGAGTCCTTTGGAATTACACCAAATCAAAACAGGTACTTTCCTATTGATAACACACACACACTCCTTTCACGAAAAACAAACTTGAGCCCACTTTTTGCAAGGCCTGGCTCAGATGGCAGACTCAAGCCAGCCCATTTCCTCGTCAGACCTGAAAAGCTAATATTTGAAGAGCTTTCTCCCTAAATGTCACTAAAATGTTCATTGTGCAGCAAGGTTGGACTGCATCAGGCTTTGCAGGAATGCCCCACTAAAGATCCCCCATCTGCTGTCCACACTGGCATTTGGTCACAAAGACCTGGGTTTCTAGTCTTATTTCCCCATTAAGGTGCGTAGGAGAAACTCTGTGTCCAAACAAGAGATGACAGGATAGAAAAAGAACAGACTATTAGCAAGTGTGTACCTCAGACTGACACAACAGTAACACGTCACAGCTGGGGGAGGCACCATCTGAGCACAGTGGGTCGTGGGGGCCTTTCCATTTAAAGCCAATTCTGCTAGGGCTCTGGATTTTTATTTGTTTTGGAAGGACAGATCCTTCTTGTGAGGTAGCTTACAGGAGTAAATCCTTTAAATTGGCGGCAAGCACAATCACTGGATCCTTTGGTTTAGTGGATAACTTTTGGCCTCCAACTTTTAGAATAAGAACATTTTAAGGTATGGCTTCTTGAGCACAGAGGCTCAGATAGGTGAGCTGACTTTTACGAGGCTGCCAAGTGCAGAATCATCTGACCCAGGACTCAGATCCAAACCTGCCCACTTCTGAATGAGTATTCCCCACCTTCTCGGACATAAATCTGCAAAGAACACGTCCCAAGACATCCTGAGGTCAGGATATCTATCCTGTGGCTTGACTCAACACAAGAACTTAATGATCGGAGTGAACTTGTTGAGCCATTTTAACAACCTCAACAGCTGCATGGGGTTGGGGACAGGGGGAGACAAAGTCATGTTTGGAAAGGATCTTTTTTAAAACACGAAATCTCAGGGTTGAAAGAGCATAGAAACAGTGACTTAACGTCCTTATTTTCTAGGTGAGAAAACAGCTACACAGAATTATTTATCAAGGTCACACAGGGAGCTGGGGCCAGATACAGGCTCAACCCTCACCTGCTAAAACTCCACTTCTATTCTCTTTTGACCACACCTCAATGGTCCAACTTAGTGAGGTAGCAAGGAACAATAATGGATCCCAGAAGCACTTAAGCACAAAACGGATTGGCTGGGTTTCCCCATTCTCTGGGCATTACGGTCTCCTAAGGGTCTACAGCTTCCATGAAGGGAAAATTCTGGCAAGGCTCCCAGGGTTGCTGACGGCGAATGGGAATTACCATGAGGTCACGTGGATGTCCTTGAGGAGGCTAATAAACCTGTCCACCAGGGGCACACACAGCGGACCCGGGATGGTGTCCCAGTTGGGCTGCATGTACTCTGAGGCACGCCTCTGGGCGTCACTCTCGCAGCAAAAATAATCAGCACACGGTGTCACGATGTACGGGATGAAATAATAATTTCCACTAGATGCCTGGAAAACAGAAACAAAAATGTTTCACAAAGTCATTGATACAGAAGCACAGCCGTGGATTTGGGCAGGCAGAACCTAGTAGGATGGGGAAGGAGAAAGCACCTGAGAATGACTAACTGTGTGCAACAGGACAAGGGATCTCTTAGGCACAAGACCGGAAACCACTCAGTTCCACAAGCCAGAACACAAAAATGTGGTTTCAGATGCTGAACTGATCTGTATATGTCTCTGAACTTCCCTGGCAGAGCTTTTAGGGTTTTAAGTCATAGAAATGACATCATTTCACTACATGCCCCCCAAATAAGAGCTTGAACCCAGTGATAACCAAGAACTGCAATGGAAAGGCAGATTTTCTTTCTTTCAGCATAGATGGAAAAGCCCTATTGCTTGACCATTTAACCACAGGTGAATGATAGGTAGACTTTGTTGAGTAAAAATTGTCTTGCAGGGAACAGATGTCAATAAATATGACTAATCTTAGAAATGTTTTTAAAAAGGATGCTAAAGGGCGCCTGGGTGGCTCAGTCGGTTGGGCATCTGCCTTTGGCTCAGATCATGATCCGGGAGTCCTGGGATCAGGCCCTGTGTTGGGCTCCCTGCTTGGTGGGGAGCCTGTTTCTCCCTCTGCCTGCTGCTTCCCTTGCTTGTACTCTCTCTCTGTCAAATAAAATCTAAAAAAAAAGGATGCTAAAGTTTTATAAAGTCAAATACTGCTCAGGTAAAACAGTATCTTTTCTTGTAAGAAATAACTACAATTTGACTATGAATCATGATCCTTTGCAAAGCGTAAACACTAACCCTAAAAAGCACTGAATCATGCTCAATTTTTAGCACATGTGAAAGGTTAAAGTACATTCTTATAGGACATTCTTTTATCAGTCAGGCTTTTGTCTACACTGTCACAAAAAGCAACTAGCTTAAAATTCCAGTCTTTTTAACTCCCAGCTCTTCACTTAATTTTCAAGAATGTCTATATCATGCCAGAAATAATTCATCTGATTTCTCTTTAATTTTTTTAAACAGCCAATGGAATTATCTGAGTATTTTAAATTAATATAGACATAACCTTGGGAAACACATTTTCTCCAAGAACAAGAAATCAAATAAGGAATATACCTTCTTCTAAATTAGAAAGAAATGCAGTAGTTACAGAAAACAGTCAGAACGCTATCATCTCAGATCAAACAGAAGCTGGGGAAAACCCGCACCATTGGAGTGCTCATTTCAAATACCCACGTGACCTAGGTTTTTAAGTTTTCCTTGTGAACGACATTTGCTTACAGAACTGGTGGCACACTTATTTCCACCTGAACTCCAACTAACTACTTGTCCTGAAACTTGTCAGGCATCTCTAAGTCCTACTGAGACATGGTTGTTAGACCCTAAAATATTTCCTTAAGAAAAAATTACTCATGCTGCTCCATTCAAAAATATTTTAGACTGGGCCAGCAAACTTGTGCAGTAAAAAACCAGATGGGAAGGATTTTGGATTTTGAGGGCTAGCCTCTGCTGCAACCACTCAACTCTCCTATCACAGCATCAAAGCAACTGTAGGCAACACATAAACACGTGAGCAGAACTACGTTCCAATCAAAGTTCATTTATGGACACAGATCTGAATTTCATATTGTCACATGTCCTGCAATACTCTTCATCTTCTGACTTCTCCCCACCCTTTACACATGTAGTAAGCACTCAGAACTGACCGGTCACACAGAAACAGGTGGCAGGCCGACCCTTGCCTTCCATTAAGCTCCTTGATGTTCTATTATTCCTGAAAATAGGATTTTCTGAGAATACTTACCCAGAAGAGCAGCTGGACACCATCCCTGTGTGCACCAGATATTGGGGTTAAATCCCTCAAAATACAGATACCAGTGTATTATAAACAGAAGAGGCAAACATTCAGGTGTGTGGGTAGTAACTGGGGTCAGGGAGAAAACTCCAGCTACTTCCCAGCAATCACTGGGAACTGCCTGCACCAGGGGAAGAAAGATCCTTCCCTTCCTGGCAATATCTTCAAATCCTCAAAGACGGACTCATACTGTCGAGCAATGTAAGGTTTGGGTAGGTTAGAGACAAATTTCTCCCTCATCTATAACAGAAAGCCATGTTGTTGAAGTAAATTCAATGCCTTTTATGCGATCAGAAGGTTAAACTGCTTGTTCTTCCACCGACAACTGGCTGAGTTCAAGGTAAAAGACTTCCGACTGCAGACAGAGGAAGGAGAGGACTGTGTGCATCAGTGAGGTCTAGAAAGTAAAATATCCATGAGGAAGCAGAGTTTATTTTTTTCAAAACATTAGAGCTAGACCTGGGGGGTGGGATGAGAAGCTTCTCAGATTACCTGGAAAAACAGCCCTAACCAGCAAAAAAAAAAAAAGAAAGAAAAAAAAAATTAAACATTTTAAGTCTCTATGAATTGTCTGAAGAGCATACAGCAAATAGAGAAACATTTATTCAAGAAAATCAACTCCTCTTGGTAAGAATAGCCACACTCTAGCATTGGATAACCTGCTCCTCCCCTATCCTCCAGCCCAGAGTAACAGAAATGCTACCCTGGGTGGGGACAGGGAAGAAGAAGCGGCTCCCTCTTACCCCACAACCTCTAGTCTAGGATGACAGTTTCTCCTTGGCCAGGCCCACCAGCATTGTCATTTACCACGGCCTGGGCCGGAGCAGCTCTGTTCCAGGCAAGTGTGGTCAAGAGGACCAGTGGGCGCCTGGGTGGCTCAGTGGTTAAGCCGCTGACTTCGGCTCAGGTCATGATCCCGGGGTCCCGGGATCGAGTCCTGCACTGGGCTCCCTGCTCCCTGCTTCTCCCTCTGCCTGCCACTCCCCCTGCTTGTACTCTCTCTCTGTCAAAGAAATAAATAAAATCTTAAAAAAAAAAAAAAAAGAGGACCAGAGCTCCATTTCTCTACCCAGTTCCCATGTAGGCAAACTAGGCCAAAAACTGGACCCTGATCACCTTTTGTCCCAGATTACACAGAGCAAAGGTTCCAGGTCAGGAGAGGCAAGCTGAGAAGATCAGGGGCTGCCACCATTGCTCAGCACCCCCTCTAGAGCAGGGTGTCATTCGGAGAGTCAGGCTGCTGCCCCTGCCCCCAGCTCTGGAGCAGGGGTGCCGAGGCTCTGCCTGGGGCTAGAAGCATCCTGTTAAGAACAGAGCGCTCAGGGCACCTGGGGTGGCTCAGTCGCTGGGCATCTGCCTTCGGCTCAGGTCGTGATCCCAGGGCCCTGAGATCGAGCCCCGCACTGGACTCCCTGCTCCATGGGGAGCCTGCTTCTCCCTCTCCCATTCCCCCTGCTTGTGTTCCCTCTCTCGCTGTCTGTCAAATAAATAAAATCTTAAAAAAAAGAACAGAGAGCTCTACAGCTCTCCAGAAGTGGACCAGAGGACACACAGCACAGAGTAGGGAAGGCCAAGCTTATGGGTACTGTCACAAACCAGGGAGATTTCTGTGGCAGGAAATGAAGAGGAAACTGGTAGTTCCAGATAGCTAGAGGTCAAAGGCAGACCAGCTCATTTCACAAAGATCAACAGGGCAGAGAGCACAAAGAAGAGCCTTCCTGAGGTCAGACAAAACCCTGAAGACGGGCCCTGAAGACTACCCCTGCAAAGGAGCCCCACTTAAATGATCTCAGGCTGTGGAATGCTTACGTCTCAGGGCATGGTCAAAAACACAGTCATCAGCTGACAACTCGGGCCTATTATCAACACAGGAAGAACGCAACAGGGAAATCGGGTAAAGACATAGTGGCGGAGAGCCCAGGTGTAACCACCGTCACCCCCTCGTGGGGGTGGGAGGGTCAGAGCAGCCATGTACATGCCCAGCGCTGTGCCCGCCAAGGAGTGACACCAGAGGCTGCACACTGAGCAGCAAAGAGACTTCACTGAACTAGTCTAGTGAAGTCACTCAACCAACCAACCGGCAAGCAACAAAAACAAGCTCCACAGACAGGAGGGAAAGAGATCAGTATCTAGAGTTGCTATATTGCATTATCTAAAATGTCCACTTTTCAGGGCACCTGGGTGGCTCAGTCGGTTAAGCATCTGCCTCTGGCTCAGGTCATGATCCCGGGGTCCTGGGATGGAGCCCCACGTTGGGCTCCCTGCTCCGCGGGGAGCCTGCTTCTCCCTCTCCCTCTGCTGCTCCCCCTTCTCACTCTCGCTCTCTCAAATAAAATCTTTAAAAAAAATAAAATGCCCACTTTTCAACAACAAAAAAACAAAACATGCCAAGGAACAGGACAGTGTGATCCATACACAGGAAAAACAGCAGGCGACAGCAGCTGCCTTTGGAAGGCCCCAGATACTGGACTTAGGAGACAAAGACTAGACAGCAGCTATTATAAAGATGCTCCAAGAACTAAAGGACACATGAAATGCTGAAAGAATTAAAGGTATGACGATGATGTCTTATCAAATAGAAAATATCAATAAAGAGACAGAAGTCACAAAAAAGAAGCAAATGGAATTTCTGGTGTTCAAAAGTACAATAACCAAAATTTAAAATTCACTGAAGGGACCCAACAGGAAATCTGCGTGGAAGAAAGAATCAGCAAACTTGTCTATGTCAATAGTCTATGCAATCCGAGGAACAGGGAGAAGAAAGAATGAAGAAAAAGGAAAAGATCCTCAAAGAAATCTGGGACACCATCCAGGGCACCAACATAAATGTCATATTATGGGAGTCCCAGAAGGACAGGAGAGAAAGGAGCAGAAAAATATCCAAAGAAATAATTCCTGAAAACTTCTTAAATGTGATTAAATGAATCTACATAGCCAAGAAATTTAATGAACTTCCTGTTGGATAAACTGAGAGATCCATACCCAGATATACCAGAGTCAACATTTTCAAAGACAAAAAGAAAATCTTGAAAGCAGCAAGAGAAAAATGTCTTAGCGCGTACAAGGGAACTCCAATTAAATCAACATCTGACTTTCCTTTGGAATTAACGAAGCCAGAAGGCGGCAGGATGACATATTCAAAGGGATGAAAGACAAAA